GGCCCACCCCCCCTTCCCCTCCCCATGTTTAGACCAAGCTTATAATGGAAATTTTGGTGGGAGTATGGATCATATTAGAGGGTAGAAATTAATATCACAAAGACGTGTCGCATTTAACTCCCATTTAAAGACACGGTTTCCATTTTAACCCTCCCACGTTTAATTCATATCCATCAAAAGCTGAAGGGGTAAAAGGGAAATAGACATTTATTATTGAGGAGAAGTGTGAACTGAAATGGTTGAGTCAACTCAGTTCAAGACAATAAGTGGGAGGCTAACATCTTATTAATCATACACATAATTTTATTCTCAAATATCTCATGGTTGTTTAATTTCCAATATCGTAGGCATGAATTCTACGAAGAGGATGGCTCATAATGGCCATGAACCCCAACCGTCTCCTCTGTTTCCAATTATAGAACCAGCCCAGCCCCAATTTGCCCAAACATAGCTCTGGTCTCACATATCAAAAGTTTGTCATATAAAGGCACTATCATCCAAGAGAGGCAAATTCAAAAACTAGCAATGTTAAGTGTAGACTTTAAGCATCCAGTACTACAGTAGACCACGTATGCAATTAGTGGATCACGTATGCAAATATCATATGATGTCAATGTATGTAACTTAAAATCAACAAAGCAAATAAACATATAAGTAGCAAATAACCTTACTACACCCTACGTATTTCGGATTTCTCTTTACATTCATATCTTTATATAGCATCGTACGTGACTTTTGTCTACTATTTCACCAAGTGTGTAACAAATAACCTACATAATTTGAGGAAGGGAGAAAAAGGTTGGTCTAAGTATAAGAAAGGACACTTACACAGTTGAAACTAATACCTTTTGTGATCCGTGTGATAATTTTCCCAACTGCTCAAGCCTTAGTTGGAATATTAAGTGCACGCCCCTGAAATATAATCATGTCAATTATTTTTCCAAATAAGTCATATATAACTATCACATTATAGAGAATCTGACAACTTTGACCAGGACCCTATCTAAAACTAAAATAAAATTATATTTAAAATTATAACTATCACATTATAGAAAATATGATGAAGTTATGTAATCACACTGTAACTAAGATTAGTGAGAACAGGACAAATGCTCTGACACCAAGCAAATGAATCTAATAAAACTGAAGTCCCATTCCCAGGATCCTATTGGACACATGCTTGGTCTTGATCCAATAGCCAACCTTATGAAAAGCAACTGCCAAATAAATTGTTGTGACACAAATGAAATATATGCAAAAAGATACGGGCTAAGTTGCATTAAAATACCTCATGTTTAAATTTGCTAATTTGGCACTTATATTCCCTCAGTTGGTTTTTGAAGCATTTATATACCCGGAGTTGTTTAAAATTAGCACTTTAATACACTCTATTACGCAAACAAGAAAATTTTCATCTAAATTTTTTTCTGTAACATTCATATGCTAATTTTATTACTTTCTAACTATTAAATTTGCTGAACTTACTATTAAATCTATCCAAATTTTATTTTTCAAATGGAATTATGATATGTTTATATTAGAACATTGGGCAGGATCAACAGTAAAGTTAACAAATATTAATGAGTAAAAAGCTCTAAAAATAGTATGTGAATGTTATACGGGAACTTTCATGTGATTTTTTTTTACATTTGCTAACAAAGGGTACTAAAATGCTAATTTTAAACAACTCAAGGTATATAAATGCTCCGGAAAAGTAATTGGGGGTATATAAGTGCTAAATGAGTGAAACATAGTGTATTTTAGTACAATCTAGCCAAAGATATAAGATATTTTGATTTGAACTAGTAGAAGTATTTGTAAATGAAAGCATATACATATATGTATTGAATAAATCATTCTCTCCCCTAATTTTCTGTTTTGTCAACTGAACACGCAAGGACAGTTAAGCATGGATGCATAGGCTGGAAGAGCAACCTAGGAAATTTAAAGCATAACAAGTTATGAAGCTCCTCTCTGATACGTTTAAATTTATTAACCGTCATAAGTTTTTCTCTGACATTTACAATTGAAAACATCTCTAGTCCATCAAGGATATACTCTATGATTATGCCTCTTAGCACATCATATTTTCAAATTTAATACAAGTTTTCGAGCACTGAAGCTTACTCTAGGACCACACTATTGTTCACGTTGGCACATAGCCTTACCATCTGTACCAAAGTGTTTTGAGCAAGATCTAGAGGGTTGTCATCAGAAATAGGTTAGAATTGTTCATGAATAGAAAAGAAAACAATCGTGCAAATTTAGACTACAAATTAAAATTACTCAATATGAAAGAGAATATGGAAGTCCTTACCTGCCTCTTCTTTCGTCCAGTTTTAACACTATCATCAATCAAAAAGTTTCAATAACCTTCTTCCAATGTAATGTTCAATTACTATCAAGACTTTAGTCCATTGAGAGAATGAGAACCTGAAAAGGCCTGATTGTCATTATTATTAGTTGAAATTCATGAATACACAAGAGAAAAAACTAGTACATACTTTAGGCTTCTGCACATGTAGCAAGGTTAAGAGTCTGTCTAGCAACTGGAATTTGCCAGCTGTTCAACCAATTTTTCCGCAAGTGGATAAACTTCTGTTGAAATGGCAAGAACTAATGTTATACAGATAGAACCTATTGAAATGATCTGATCATGTTGAGGCCTATAAACACACCAGTTTTCAAAAAAACATAGTTAGCAGGACAAGGAGTAAAGACAAGCTTAATTAAGACTTACCCACAAGTAATTAAGAAGGATGTGACACTAGTTAATTTAACAGAGGAGATAGCCAGAAATAAATTGAAAAAGGATTCATGTAGGTGGCCTAAAAAACTTGGGATAGAGGCTTTCTTCTTCTTCTTCTTCTCATAGAGACAATTATTTCTCTTGACATACAAAATCATGTATATTCAGTTTCTTTGACACGTGTCATAAAATTATGGCTTCTAATATTGGTGTCCATTCTTCCTAATAGCTAGTTAGTTTCTTTGACACGTGTCATAAAATTATGGCTTCTAATATTGGTGTCCATTCTTCCTAATAGCTAGTTAAGGCATAGCCCAAGAAAACGAAGATAATTGCATGCAATACTATCCTTTTCATTTGCTTTGTGGTGTGGCTGTTTATGCTCAGTTGGTTAATTAATTTATTTATTTTTTACAGTTCTTTTCATTTTTCGGTTAGAATGTGGAAGGTTTGACACCATATCCTCAATTCCACAGGATAGTAGTTTCATCACAAAAAACAATCCTAAAACTAAGAAAAAAGGATGAAGGAAAAGAAGAAAGAAATATTAGAGAAACAAAAGAAAGCAAGAAATGGCAAGAACTACTGTTTAGCAACTGGTAATTCATGAATACACGAGAGAAAACTAGTAAGTACATTGTGATTCTGTGCAGGTAGCAAGGTTAAGAGTCTGTTTAGCAACTGGAATTAGACATGTTATACATACATACATATATATGTATATGTATATATACATACATACATATATATGTATATGTATATATACATACATAGAAAGAGAGAAAGAGAGAGAAATTCTTTTGTCAAAAAAGGAGAGAGATGAAGGAGAGATGAACTTATGTCAACCTAAATGGACAAATCTTTCACCAAACTTTCCTACCACTCCATATATATATATATAATACAGAAGCACAATGTACTTTACTGATGTTTTTTCTCGTGTATTGCTGAATTTCCAGTTGGTTAAGCATTTAGTTCTTGCCTTTCTTGCTTTCCTTTTGTTTCTCCTAATATTTCTTCTTTTATCCACTCATATATATATATATATATATATATATAATATATATATAATATTCATATCTTGCATGTATCCCTAGGTATCATCAATTGATAGAAAGTTTAGTGGATAGTCCACTTAGG